TCTCTCTCTGTCTTTCGCTCGCTCTCTCTCTCTGCTCTTGCTCGCTCTCTCTCTCTGTCTTTCGCTCGCTCTCTCTCTCTGTCTTTCGCTCGCTCGCTCTCTCTCTGTCTTTCGCTCGCTCTCTCTCTCTCTGTCTTTCGCTCGCTCTCTCTCTCTTTTGCTCTTTCTCTCTCTCTGTCTCGCTCGCTCTCTCTCTCTCTTTTGCTCGCTCTCTCTCTGTCTTTGCTCGCTCTCTCTTCTCTGCTCGCTCTTTCTCTCGCTCTCTCTCTCTTCTTTCGCTCGCTCGCTCTCTCTCTCTGTCTTCGCTCGCTCGCTCTCTCTGTCTGTTTCGCTCGCTCTCTCTCTGTCTCTTTCTCTCTCTCTCCCTCTGTCTCGCTCGTCTCTCGCTCTGTCTCTGTCTGCTCGCTCGCTCTCTCGCTCTGTCTTCGCTCCTCGCTCTCTCTTCTTTCGCTCGCTCTCTCGCTCTGTCTCTCCTCTCGCTCTCTCTCTGTCTCGCTCCTCCTCTGTCTCTCGCTCGCTCTCTCTCTCTGTCTTTCGCTCGCTCTCTCTCTCGCTCTCTCTCTCTCGCTCTCTCTCTTTCGCTCGCTCTCTCTCTCTCTCTGTCTTCGCTCGCTCTCTCTCTCTCTCTCTCTGTCTTTCGCTCTCTCTCTCTCTTTCTCTCGCTCGCTCTCTCTCTCTCTCTCTCCTCTCGCTCTTTCTCTCTCTCTTCTCTCGCTTCTCTCGCTCTTTCTCTCCTCTCTCTCGCGCGCTCTTTCTTCTCTCTCTCTCGCTCGCTCGCTCTTTCTTTTCTCTCTCGCTCTTTCTTTCTTCTCCTCGCTCTTTCTCTCTCTCTCTCTCGCTCTTTCTCTCTCGCTCTCTCTCTCTCCTCTGTCTTTCTCGCTCGCTCTCTCGCTCTGTCTTTCTCTCGCTCTCTCTGCTCTTTCGTCTCTCTCTCTCTCTCGCTCTCGCTCGCTCTCTCTTTCTCGCTCTCTCTCTCTCTTTCCTCGCTCTTCTCTTTCTTCTCTCGCTCTTTCTGTCTCTCGCTCTTTCTTTCTCTCTCTCGCTCTTTCTCTCTCTCTCTCTCTTCTCTCGCTCTCTCTCTCTCGCTCTCTTTCTGTCTCTCGCTCTCTCGTCTCGCTCTTTTCTCGCTCTCTCTCTCGCTCTTTCTCTCGCTCTCTCTCTCGCTCTCTCTCTCGCTCTCTCTCTCGCTCTCTCTTCGCTCTGCTCTCTCGCGCTCTCTCTCCTCTCGCTCTCTCTCTCTCTCTCCTCTCGCTCTCTCTCTCGCTCTCCTCTCTCCTCTCTCCCTCTCTACTCTCTCGCTCTCTCTCTCTCTCTCTCTCTCGCTCTTTCTCTCTCTCTCGCTCTCTCTCTCTCTCTCTCTCTCGCTCTCTTTCTTCTCGCTCTCTCTCTCCCTCTCTCGCTCTCTCTCTCTCTTTCTCTCTCTCTGTCTCTCGCTCTTTCTCTCTCTTTCTCTCTCTCTCTCTGTCTCTCTCGCTCTTTCTCTCGCTCTTTCTCTCTCGCTCTGTCTCTCTCGCTCTTTCTCTCTCGCTCTTTCTCTCTCTCTCTCTCTCGCTCTTTCTCTCTCGCTCTTTCTTTCTCGTCTCTCTTTCTCGCTCTCTTCTCTCGCTCTCTCTCTCTCTCTTCTCTCTCTGCTCTCTCTCGCTCTCGCTTCTTCTCTCTCTCTCTCTCGCTCTCGCTCTTCTCTCTCTCTCTCTCTCTCTTTCTCTCGCTCTTTCTTTCTGTCTCTCGCTCTTTCTCTGTCTCTCGCTCTTTCTCTCTCTCTCTCTCTCGCTCTTTCTTTCTCTCTCTCTCGCTCTTTCTTTCTTTCTCTCTCTCGCTCTTTCTCTCTCTCTCTCGCTCTTTCTTTCTCTCTCTCTCGCTCTTTCTTTTTCTCTCTCTCTCTCGCTCTTTCTTTCTCTCTCTCTCTCTCGCTCTTTCTTTCTCTCTCTCTCTTCTCGCTTTCTTTCTCTCTCTCTCTCTCTCTTTCTCTCTTCTCTCTTTCTCTCACTCTCTCTCTCGCTCTTTCTTCTCTCTCTTCTTTCTCTCTCTCTCTCTCTTCTTTCTTTTCTCTCTCTCTCTCGCTCTTTCTTTCTCTCTCTCTCTCTCTCGCTCTTTCTTTCTCTCGCTCTCTCTCTCTCGCTCTTTCTTTCTCTCTCGCTCTCTCTCGCTCTTTCTTTCTCTCTCTCTTTCTCTCGCTCTTTCTTTCTCTCTCTCGCTCTTTCTCTCGCTCTCGCTCTCTTTCTCTCTCTCTCTTGCTCTCTCTCTCTCGCTCTTTCTTTCTCTCTCTCTCTCTCTCTCTCTCTCGCTCTTTCTTTCTTCTCTCTCTCTCTCTCTTGCTCTCTCTCTCTCTCGCTCTCTCCTCCCTCCCTCCTTTCATCTGTTTTCCATCTTGTACATAATACATAGGCTCATTTTTTGTATCTGGAAGTATCCTTTTGTCTAGCAGTGCACAGAATTATTGGAACCAATCTGTCCTTTCAGGTGAAAGAAACTGTTACTTTACAAAAGTTACTGTTACTGCACAAAATACTTTTTTTTTTACAGATCAGCTACGAGCAGTGATCAGTTTCATCTCTATCCATAGGCGTAACACAGACCTATTTTAAAGTTGTACCCCCTGTATTACTGTATCAGTGATCATGTGCTCATTGCCTTGGCTTTTGCTGACATTACTGGCTGCCAATGAGATCTCATCGCAGCAGTTTCTAGAGCATGTCTTTAAAGCCCAACTTCAGGCAGATAAAAGAATGATCCCTTGCACTGGGGCTGTGTCTGCACTGCAAGGGTTAATGGCTCACTTATGTCTAGGGGAGATTTACTTACCTGATCCTCTGCCCCTCCCTGCAGCTGGACTGATCCCCGCAGTGCATGCGCCGGAGAGCGCTCGAGGTCCAGGGAAGCAGTCTCCAAACTGTGGCCCTTTGCTTGCTTTTATCCGGCTCTTGGGATGTTATTCCTCCCACTGTCAGCAACAGTGGGGCATAGTTCCTGACACCAACGATGGGGCCCGGTTTGCTCCCACGGACACCACCAACGATGGGGCCCGGTTTGCTCCCACGGACACAACCAACGATGGGGCCCGGTTTGCTCCCACGGACACCAACGTGTTTTCTACTTCCACTGGCAACAGTCCAGTCCCCCCCCCCCAAAAGTTTGCAGGACAGTAAACTGGCCCTTTGTTTAGAAAGTTTGGACACTCCTGGTCTAGGGTTCTGATGTCATCAGGACTGAGCAGGGTCTATAGCCCTTCTCTGGAAGTGCAGACGCCAAAGGACAGTCCAATGAATCGTGGGAGAGGGGAGCCACCTGCCAAGGGAGTGAATGGTCAGGTAAGTAAAGCTGTTTCTCCTTTCCTCCAGACATAATGAGCTATTTAATGCTTTCAGTTTCGGTAGAAAAAGAGGATTCCTTTTAGTGAGGCTGTATCCAGAGTTTGGCTTTTAAAGTAACTGCTGTATTTACAGGGATACCTTTTTAAAGGGGCCTATTTATATGGGAAACCGGATACCAGTATGTGCGCTCTGCTATATTGTTCAGTATTACTCTGCACTGCTGCCTGCACTTTGACATGGCTCCATTCCATGCCCTGCGTTTTATGAATGGCCTGCAAAGCTTTCTCTGCTGTATTGGACAAGAGGCTGGTCATATCTAAAAGGTGATGAGATTTCAATGCTTTTTCAACTGGTCAAACGTAAGGATGTATTAAAATAAACTCACCAGCTCTGGTAATGTGGCTACTAAACAATCAGGGCACTATTCCTCCCACTGACACCATTGATGGGACACTATTCCTCCCACTGACACCAATGATGGGACACTATTCCTCCCACTGACACCACTGGGACACTACCACTGACACCAATGATGGGCACTATTCCTCCCACTGACACCAATGATGGGGCACTGTTCCTCCCTCCCACTGACACCAGTGATGGGGCACTGTTCCTCCCACTGACACCAGTGATGGGGAACTGTTCCTCCCCACTGACATCAGTGATGGGGCACTGTTCCTCCCACTGACACCAGTGACGGGGCACTATTCCTCCCACTGACACCAGTGACGGGGCACTATTCCTCCCACTGACACCAGTGATGGGACACTATTCCTCCCACTGACACCAATGATGGGGCACTATCCTTCCCCACTGATACCAATGATGGGGCACTATTCCTCCCACTGATACCAATGATGGGGCACTATTCCTCCCACTGATACAAATGATGGGGCACTATTCCTCCCACTGACACCAGTGATGGGGCACTATTCCTCCCTCCCACTGACACCAGTGATGGGGCACTATTCCTCCCTCCCACTGACACCAGTGATGGGGCACTATTCCTCCCTCCCACTGACACCAGTGATGGGGCACTATTCCTCCCTGACCACTGACACCAGTGATGGGGCACTATTCCTCCCTCCCACTGACACCAGTGATGGGGCACTATTCCTCCCTCCCACTGACACCAGTGATGGGGCACTGTTCCTCCTGACAACTCCCAACAATCCCTAAGCTTGAGACGTTGTTTACTCTGACTGTTGCTAAGGCAGTTTCTACTCCCACTGTGAACAGTGGAGTCCCCCTAAAGTCTGAAGGTCCGTAAACTGGCCCATTGTTTAGAAAGTTTGGAGATCCCTGGCACTCAGATATAGACAGTTGGCGGTCCCACTATTGCAGCCTGCCTATGGCAGGGCCTTGTTTACATCCTGCATGTGCCTGTCATAGTCGAGGTTTATGAAACTATCTGCAACATGTGAAGGGCCCGGAGCCCTGAACAAGCCGCACTCGGGGGCTGTGTACATCTGCCAAGGTACTCTGTGCATAACATAATCCAAACAAGAAGATGTTTAAAACATGCACAACATTTGTTGTGTGAACAGCGACATTCCAGGTGTCCTTGCACCCTTTCTCAAGATCAAATATAAATTTAATTTAGCGTTTACCTCTGCCTATCACTGCTATGTTTTGTGATGCAAAACAAAACCGACTGATGCATAATATCCTTCTTTTTTTTTTTTCCAGTAAACAACGTGGCAGTTGCATATGACTATCCAGAGTATTTCCTTGACATCCCAGACCTGGATAACGTGAGTACTCACAGTACAAATGACGTCTTTCTCCACTGAGAAGCTTGTAACCAAGGGTTACGTTTATGATGCTGGAACACCGGACACAAAACACACACATGTCACTGACTGCATTCCTGGTGAAGTGGGCATCATGATTTAAAGGGACCGTGAACATAAAATGTTCAGTATTATGTCTTCTTATGGCATAAACATGTGTTTACAGTGATAGGCTCACTGCTAATATTATAAACTCCAGGGCTCAGAGGTCTGCATGTTTTAGATCAGTGGTTCTTAACCTGGGTTCGATCGAACCCCAGGGGTTCAGTGAGTCAGTCTCGCGGGTTCGGCAGAGGTGAAGACCCACACCCGACTCATATGATTCGTGCAGTAAATATTCATTATTATGTTTTTGTGTGAAAATCATGTTTTAATGGTTTTGTTCTTTGTTCTTAACGGTTTTGTTCATTTTGTGCACCTATGTATAAATATATACCTATGTTTTGAATTTTAAAAATCATATTTTATTTTTCCAATTAAGAAGGTTTCGGTGAATGCGCATATGAAACTGGTGGGGTTCAGTACCTCCAACAAGGTTAAGAACCACTGTTTTAGATGGAGAGTCTCTCCTAGGTGCCTTTCACTGTAGCTCTTTCCTGTGGGTTAAAGTGGTTGTAAAGGTAACATTGAAAGAAAAAAATGTTCTACTTACCTGTTCTGTGCAATAATTATGCACAAAGCAGCCCCTATCCTCTTCTCGGGTCCCTTGCTGATGCTTTTGGCTCCACCCTCCCCGTTGAGTGTCCTCATATCAAGCCGCTTGGTGTGAGCGCATTCATGCGTGCTCACTCCCGAGCCCTGCTCTGTGTGTCTATAAGACACACATAGTGGCTCAGCCCCAAGCCGCTTGGTGTGAGGGCATTCATGCGTGCTCACTCCCGAGCCCCGCTCTGTGTGTCTATAAGACACACATAGTGGCTCAGCCCCAAGCCGCTTGGTGTGAGGGCATTCATGCGTGCTCACTCCCGAGCCCCGCTCTGTGTGTCTATAAGACACACATAATGGCTCAGCCCCCTCCCCTCTCTACTCACTGGATGTTATTGACAGCAGCAGGAGCCAGTGGCTCCTAGTTCTATGTCTGAGAAAATGAGTTGGGAGAGAGCCGAAAGCCGCTGCTCTTGTGCATATTACTGGATTGAGATCGGGCTCAGGTAAGTATTAGGGGGGCTGTGGGGGGAGCTGCATGCAGACGTATTTTGTTTTTTGTTTTTTTTCTACCTTCATGCATAGGTTTCATGAAGGTAAAAAAAACCTTCAGCTTTTTGAACCACTTTAAGGTGCCTACAGGTGTAAAGCTTCCCATATCCCATAGATGGGTCTTTTTTTTTTTTTTTTTTTTTTTAACCTGATAGTTGCGGCCAATTGGCTACAACTTCTGATCTAATACAAATTTCCTAACATTTCTGTCAGTTGTCAGGTATGTCCATAGATGGATCAAAATTCTTCTGCTCCCTGCTGAACCAGACGAATTTTGATCTATCTAGGGTCAGCTTAAGGATATGCATGCTTGATTTGGCCACTGATTGGGCAATAACTGTACTTGTACAGGCTCTCACCGACATGGCCTGGTTGAGCATACTTGGGGGATGAATTGTCCTGCAAAAAAAGTTGGTGCAAATTCATATGGGTACAGTATTGCATGACCGCGCAATTGTCATTCAAAGCGTGACAGCGCTGAAAGCTGAAAATTGCCCTGGACAGGAAGGGGGTAAAAGTGTCCGGACAGGAAGTGGTTAAAATGCGTTGGGAATGTGAGAATGATAGAATCTGTATAGGAAGCATTGGCATGCCATTTCGGGTGCTTAAAGGGTAACTCCACTTTTGTGGGGGAAAAAATAGCACATTAAAAAAAAAAATATTATTATTATACAGGATTTATATATTATTATTATTATTATACAGGATATATATATTATTATTATTATTATTATACAGGATTTATATATTATTATTATTATACAGGATATTATTATTATTATTATTATTATTATACAGGATTTATATATTATTATTATACAGGATTTATATTATTATTATTATTATACAGGATTTATATTATTATTATTATACAGGATTTATGTATTATTATTATTATACAGGATTTATATGGCGCCAACAGTTTGCTCAGCGCTTTACAATATAAAGGGAGACAATACAGCAGTGTTTCTCAACTCCAGTCCTCATGGACCCCCAACAGGTCATGTTTTCAGGATTTCCCTCAGATGAAACAGCTGTGGTAATTACTAAGGCAGTGAAACTGATCAAATCACCTGTGCAAAATAATGGAAATCCTGAAAACATGACCTGTTGGGGGTCCATGAGGACTGGAGTTGAGAAACACTGCAATACAGCAACAATACAGTTCAATACAGAAGGAATAGGAGGGCCCGGCTCGTGGAGCTTACAATATAGCATATACAATTGCAACACAAGTTATATTGTAATTGAATGTTATTAAAAATGACCTTTTCTTTTCAATCTCCAGTCCCTGTAAATTTTCCGTAAAATACAATATGGCTACTTGGAGGTGTTTCCCCCCAGAAATAGCATTTCCTGAATGTGTGATTGGTTCACTGATTTTCCCAGAACTCTGCACTAAGATACAAGTCCGATTTCAGGCGTCTTTGCAACAAAAATTAAATTTTTGGTGAGATGCTCCCAAAGGGAAATTGGGTCCAAAGGAATGCAGACCCTGCCACTTTCCTCATTACAACCCTGCCAGTGCAGGAGCTGATTGATAAGTATGAAACCACTCCCATTAAATTTGCTTTACACATACACGCAGACCAACAAACAGCCCTTTATCAGAATAACAGAAGATAGGAATCTGCAACAAAGTTTGTTAAAATCCCTTCAATGTATTTGTACGTGGATCGCCCAGAGGGGAATGTTTTTTTTTCTTAATAAAAAGTAGAGTTACTCTTCAAGAATAATTAGTTGCTTTATGCATTTTGTATGGATTTATATTTTTGATATTTTCTTATATGTGAGCGGTCACATTTTAAGGCCTGTGGAAATGGGTTTTTTCTTTGGAATAATACATTTTTTAGAAAAAGTTATTTTTGAGACGGTGCCCTTAAAATCCCTGCCACTTGCTACATTTTTTTTCTCTGTATACAAAGAGTTTTTGAGATTGGCACAGGCATAGTCTCAAATCACGCCATCCTGATTTTTGGAAGTTTGAAAAGTGCTTCGGAGAGGAGCACAGAGCAAGAATCTTCCAAAATGAGAGACTACGTTTTTAGAGCAAATTACAGGGAAATAAATCCAAGTGCCTTTTTTAGGAACTGCAAATGGCTCTCCTGATTCCTGAACTGCAAGAGGCCGATCCACATGACCCAGCTGGCCAGAGGCTTGTTGTACTGGGAGATTTTCTAACGTGTGAGCTGGTTCCCCACTTTTTTACAGAAGAGCTAGAGGTCCAGAGTGGCACATGTGTCAGTATGAACAACATATCCTATCATTGATTGATAGATCTGACCACTCTCCTTGTGCATTGCCATTCATTTGCTGGAGAGCAGTAGAGAGTCTGAAAAAGTGTAGCAAGGGTGCATGAACCTTTTTTTTATAATCAGAATGGGGTACTGTGCCGACGTACAATATTGTGAAATGATGCAGCGCCTGTGAATACAACAAAAACATACAAAAACCCCCCAAATAAACAGTGTTCAATGTGACAAATGTAAAGTCTCTCTTAAATCAAAGTCCATATACAGTGGATATAAAAAGTCTACACGCCCCTGTTAAAATGTCAGGCTTCTGTGATGTAAAAAAAAAATGAGAAAAAGATAAATCATTTAAACTTTTTCCACCTTTTTAATGTGACCTAGAAACTGTACAACTCAGCTGAAAAACAAACTGAACTCTTTTAGGGGAGGTAAGTAAACAAACTAAAATAATGTGGTTGCATAAGTGTGCACACCCTCTTATAACTGGGGATGTAGCTGTGTTCAGAATTAAGCAATCACATTCAAAATCATGTTAAATAGGAAACAGTACACACCTGCCATCATTTAAAGTGCCTCTGATTAACCCCAAATAACGTTCAGCTGTTCTAGTAGGTCTTTCCTTACATTTTCTTAGTTGCATCCTACAGCAAAAGCCATGGTCCGCAGAGAGCTTCCAAAACATCAGAGGGATCTCATTGTTAAAAGGTATCAGTTAGGTGAAGGGTACAAAAGAATTTCCAAGGCATTAGATATACCATGGAACACAATGAAGACAGTCCTCATCAAGTGGAGAAAATATGGTGCAACAGTGATATTACCAAGAACTGAACGTCCCTCCAAAATGGATGAAAAGATGAGAAGAAAACTGGTCTGGGAGGCTATCAAGAGGCCTACAGCAACATTAACCACTTCCTGTCCGGACACTTTTACCCCCTTCCTGTCCGGGGGCAATTTTCAGCTTTCAGCGCTATCACACATTGAATGACAATTGCGCGGTCATGCAACACTGTACCCATATGAATTTTTTACCATTTTTTTGAGACAGATAAAGCTTTATTTTGGTGGTATTTATTCACCACTGGGATTTTTATTTTTTTTGCTATATAAATGAAAATGTCCAAAAATTTTGAAAAAAAGTGTTTATCAAATTTTGCAAATAAATATTTCATCATAAATCTTGGCCAAAATTTATTCCGTTATCTTTTTTGTAAAAAAAAAAAAAAAATACGCCAAATTAGTTTATAACCAAAAATTATAATTTTTAAACTTTTTTTTACATTTTTATTTTATTTTCTTTATATTATTATTTATGGGGGGGTTTAGGGGGGGTTTTTGTTACATACCGTCACCCTAGCAGTACAGTGTCACCATGGTGACATTGTACTACTTGTGGGGGGTGATGAAGATTTTTTTTTTTTAAGCAAGTGACATCTTGCTTACTAATTTGCATGTGATCACTGATTGGCCAATCAGTGATCACATGACCGGGACCTCGTACAGAGGTCCCGTCCGACGATCGGTGTTTCACTGTGTCCGGAGGACACAGCGGGCACCGGATCGCGGTGCTGCGCGCGCGCTCCCAGGGAGCGCGCACAACTAGAAATAGCGGGTGCCGTTTATGAACGGCAACCCGCCCCTGGAGTGCCACTGTCCTGCCGTTTAAAAAGAGCAGGCGGACGGCAAGTGGTTAAAGGAGCTGCAGGAATATCTGGCAAGTACTGTCTGTGTGGTACATGTGACAACAATCTCCCGTGTTCTTCATATATCTGCGCTATGAGGCAGAGTGGCAAGACAGAAGCCTTTTCTTACGAAGAAAAAACATCCAAGCCCGGCTAAATTTTGCAAAAACACATCTGAAGTCTCCCAAAAGCATGTGGGAAAATGTGTTCTGGTCTGATAAAACCAAGTGTGAACATTTTGGCCATTCCAAAAGATATGTTTGGCGCAAAAACACTGCCTGCCACCAAAAAAACACCATACCTACAGTGAAGCATGGTGGTGGCAGCATCATGCTCTGGGGCTGTTTTTCTTCAGCAGGAACTGGGGTCTTAGTCAAGGTAGAGGGAATTATGAACAGTTCCAAATACCAGTGAATATCGGCACAAAACCTTCAGGAGTCTGCTAGAAAGCTGAACATGAAGAGGAACTTCATCTTTCAGCATGACAACCACCCAAAGCATACATCCAAATCCACAAAGGAATGGCTTCACAAGAAGAAGATGAAAGTTTTGGAGCCCAGACCTGAATCTGATCAAAAATCTGTGGGGTGATCTGAAGAGGGCTGTGCACAGGAGACGTCCTCGCAATCTGACAGAGAAGGAAGAGCGGGCAAATATTGCCAAGTCAGGATGTGCCATGCTGATAGACTCTTCCCCAACAAGACTGAGTGCTGGAATCACATCAAAAGGTGCTTCAACAAATATTCGTTTAAGGGTGTGCACACTTGCGCAACCATATTATTTTAGTTTTTTTATTTTTACTTCCCTCCACCTAAAGGATTTCAGTTTGTTGTTCAGCTGAGCTGTAGAGTTTAAATCCTCCCTAGGTGTGTGCGCTTCCACTCCAGAATCACTGCTGTTAGGCGGCAGCAGCAAAAGGCAACTCCCACTGGAACAAACAAAGCTCACCAAAGAGCTGAGAAAGCCGCTGATGTCCAGTGATCATGCAACGTCATCATGTCCGCACTGAGAGTCCGCCCCAACTAGTTTCGTCCAAACAGATGTTCTCAAGGGGTTCTGTGCCATTGTACATAATCCTATAGTACAGCAGTGAAATGTGAACGCAGGGGAGACAACACTGATTACTATTTCAATAGAGCAATGTTAATATTGTAAATGGGAATTAGGAAGTGACATACAAGTGAGTTTCTGGCAGGATCACCAGGTATATTTTATTGTAAGCTGTTCCCACAAACAAAAGCTAAACGTTTGTTGAGACCTCTAAGATTTTTTTACTGTTTTGCCCAGATATACACTTACATTGCTTTTTCTTCTTTTGTAGACTCTGGACATGTTAATAAATGTCAACATCACGTCTGTGTGTAAGGTAAGACAGAGATCTGAAATTATTTACTTAATACAGGTACTTATATATGGCCATCAATGTACGCAGCGCTTTACATATTTATTAGACCTTAACATCAGTGACCCTCAAGGAGCCCTGACCCTCAAGGAGCGTACAATCTATGGTCCCTAACCCTCAAGGGGCGTACAATCTACGGTCCCTAACTCTCATTCATACATACACATACTAGGGACAGTTTGGACAGGAGCCAGTTAACCTGCAGCATGTGGAGTGTGGGAGGAAACGAGTACCCGGAGCCAGGGGCGGACTAACAACTCATGGGGCCCCCGGGCAATAGGGAAACATGGGGCCCCTGTGTCCTTACCCAAACTCAGAAAAGCCTATGAAAAAGGTACCAGGGGCATCTCATGGGGCCCCCTACTGACCCCGGGCCCTCGGGCAGTGCCCAAGTTTTCAAATGGTCAGTCCGCCCCTGCCCGGAGCAAACCCATGCAGGCACAGGGAGAATATGCAGCCTTCGTGTAGGTAGTGCTACGGTTGGGATTCAAACTGACGACCGTAGTGCTGCCTGCGGAAAGTGCTAAGCGCTGCTGTTGGTAAAATGAGGCACTGAAACTTCCCGCCCTGCGTTGTCATACCTAAATGCTCGTAAAGTGAACTTGGTGCAAGTGTATTCACGTTAAAAGCATTGCAGAGGACCAGAGGGCACTATTTGTGTCTGGAGGGAAAGAGGTTTAACCTCTGCACTCTGCATACAGGAAGTATTCTTTACAGTAACGTTGTGAAAACATAGAGTAGGCTTCCTCTAAAGCTAGTTCCATCCACCTCAGTTGATTGTTTAAAAAAAAAAAAAAATGCTGGATGTGCTTCTAAAAGCACAAAATATAGCTGACCATTTACCGCCCTAGATTGTGGATTCAGGGAATATCCGATTGCCTAGGTCAGCCTTTCTCAACTTTCTTAAAGCAGAACTAAACTCACCTTTTGCTTCAATGGCCTCGTCCTGCGCCAGCATCTTCTGCTGTGTGCCAATATTTGGCTGTATTCGTTGGCCAGCTCAAGGATGACGTTACTCTTTCTTATGTGCAGAGACCAGGGGCGGACTGACCATTTGGAAACTCGGGCACTGCCCGAGGGCCTGGGGTCAGTAGGGGCCCCCATGAGTTGCCCCTGGTACCTTTTTCATAGGCTTTTTTGAGTTTGGGCAAGGACACAGGCCCCATGATCCCCTATTGCCCGGTGGCCCCATTAGTTGTCAGTCCGCCCCTGGCAGAGACCATGCAGGTGGTGTAAGCCAATTTGTGCATGGGCAGCTCTGTTGAATTGCTGAAGAACGATGCGAACAGGCAGGTCGGTGCATCTTGTTCTGGAAGAGACATTGCTTGTCTCTTCTGCAATAAAGAGCCTGCTTGCTCACGGTTTGTGACAGCAGAAATTTAGCCCTGCTATAACACGGAGGAACCCTGAGGGCCGGTTCACACTATAGAAACAGTCTGGATACGTTCCTGCGCGTTCTGGTGCTTTTGTGATGTGTTCCGGTGCGTCTTTTATACTTTTCAGTTCATTTTTCCCCCTATTTTTCTTCAATTCAAATAAGGACATGTGCGTTCCAGTGCGTTTGTGTTTTACCATGTTCCGGTACATTTTTGGGCAGGAAAAATGCAGCCTGCTTTATATATTTTTGTTTTCTGCTACCGGAACACACTAGAATTTTAAGCAGTGATGTGAACTATGACTTTGACAACCATATAACCTACTTTCTGTGTGCTTTGGATGCAGAAGAAAAGCACAATGAAAAGTCTCAGGGAACCCCTGCTTATAATTCTACTTCTAGCTCATGGGACTTTAGTGTGAAAGGTAAGCTGTAGGTATAGGAATAAATAAAAGAATGTGACATACTTGGTGTATATGACATCCAGGCCTGCACAATAGTAAGTATTTTCAGTGATAATAATCAAAACATTGATAATGGCCAGGAAAAGAAAAAACAGTGAAAATTGTAAGACTCCCTTAAGTGGAAAAGTGTCCCCCGCCTCCTTCCTTTGGGTTGGTGGAGATTTCACTTTACGATGGTGGTCAGTGAAGGGCCTTCGTACCCTGGTAGTCAGCAAAAGCATGTTCCTTATGTTGGTCAGTGGGAAGAATGTTCCTTACATTGGATGTCAGTGGGAAGAATGTCCCTTACATTGGGGGTCAGTGGGAAGAATGTCCCTTACATTGGGGGTCAGTGGGAAGAATGTCCCTTACATTGGGGGTCAGTGGGAAGAATGTCCCTTACATTGGGGGTCAGTGGAAGAATGTCCCTTACATTGGGGGTCAGTGGGAAGAATGTCCCTTACATTGGGGGTCAGTGGGAAGAATGCCCCTTACATTGGTGGTCAGTGGGAAGAATGCGCCTTACATTGGTGATCAGTGAGAAGAATGTCCCTTACATTGGTGATCAGTGGGAAGAATGTCCCTTACATTGGTGGTCAGTGAGAAGAATGCCCCTTACATTGGTGGTCAGTGGGAAGAATGCGCCTTACATTGGTGATCAGTGAGAAGAATGTCCCTTACATTGGTGATCAGTGGGAAGAATGTTCCTTACATTGGTGGTCAGTGGGAAGAATGTCCCTTACATTGGTGATCAGTGGGAAGAATGCTCCTTACATTGGGGGTCAGTGGGAAGAATGTCCCTTACATTGGTGATCAGTGGGAAGAATGCCCCTTACATTGGGGGTCAGTGGGAAGAATGCCCCTTACATTGGGGGTCAGTGGGAAAAATGTCCCTTACATTGGTGATCAGTGGGAAGAATGTCCCTTACATTGGTGATCAGTAAGAAGAATGTCCCTTACATTGGGGGTCAGTGGGAAGAATGCCCCTTACATTGGGGGTCAGTGGGAAGAATGTCCCTTACATTGGTGATCAGTGGGAAGAATGCCCCTTACATTGGTGGTCAGTGAGAAAAATGTCCCTTACATTGGTGATCAGTGGGAAGAATGTCCCTTACATTGGTGATCAGTGGGAAGAATGTCCCTTACATTGGTGATCAGTGGGAAGAATGTCCTTTACATTGGTGATCAGTGGGAAGAATGTCCCTTACATTGGTGATCAGTGGGAAGAATGCCCCTTATATTGGAGGTCAGTGGGAAGAATGCCCCTTATGGGTATGTGAATATATTATTAGTATCAGTGGTAACTTACCTGAGAGATGGATATTACACAATGCTTAAGGAACCCCTACCAACATCTGGTGGAACCCTAAAGTTACACAGAGCTCTGGCTAAGAAAGGCTGCCTCAGGAGATCGGGAAGAACATTTTTCTTTCCCTGTTGGAACACACTTTATAAGGGTTTTTTGACTTCCTTTGGATCAACTGTGGGTTTAGGCCTCTGTGGATTTCGGATTTTTGTGTTTTTTTTTTTTTTTTGCTGTTGGTTGAACCCGATTTTAGATGTTTTCTTTTTCTTTCTTTCTTTCAACTTTTTTTTTTTTCTGGCTTGACTCTTAGAAGGTTCACATGACTTCTGTATGAACTGCTGTTGCTCCCTTCTGTAGACAGCATTAACAGTTCATATCAGGTAAAACTCCAGATGAACCCTGAAACCGCTTGGCTCTCCCGCTTGACCATAGGTTTATTATAGAAAATGGTATGCGCAAATGAAGAGACATCAACAAGGGAACCTTGACGCATTTCACACAAAGTGCCTAAACGTAAGCAAGCACCTAGAGTAGAACACGTCAAGGTTCACTTGTTGACGTCTGTGAACACCTTTGTCTACAGTAAATCGAAGGCTTTTTATAAACCAGTTCCACAATCCCATCACCTGACAGTTTGTGTGATAGGCCATCTAGCTCCACTTCAGCATCCAAGTAAGAGCGGCACAAGAGTCTTTACATGAACTGAAGGGAATCTGTAGGTTTTCTGGCTGTCATGCCAATGCAAAGTGTCTTCAGTAGTTTTGGTGTTACCCTCCCACAAGTATGCCGATCAAGAGCCCTGACATCACTGTGACTTTAGTTGCTGTACGTGCATTCCAGTTCAGTTCCTCATGCTCAGTTTGGTGTGTGTTGCTGGAGAGGCATTTTTGTTTTTTGTTTTTTTTTTGTTTTTTTTTTTTACTTGGAAGAGTGCATGTGATCAGCACAGGGCCTATCGGCAATGTCCAGACGGAGGTCAGGGGTTTTGTATCCTCCTAGAGCAGAAAGAAAACTCCTACAAGCTTTAACCAGTGCTCTGCTAGACACTGATAGAAGTCACAAGACTGATATATACTGCTGATGATATAAGGTATTTAGCAGTTTATATTTACTAAAATAATTGCATTTCCATGTCGTGTGTACTGTGGGAGATCGGATATAGTGAATGCAGGGTCCAGGGAGACCAGGTATCATGAATGCAGGGTCCAGGGAGACCCGGGTATCATGAATGCAGGGTCTGGGGAGACCGGATATAGTGAATGCAGGGTGCGGGGAGAGCGGATATAGTGAATGCAGGGTCTGGGGAGACTGAATATAGTGAATGCAGGGTCTGGGGAGACCGGATAAAGTAAATGCAGGGTCTGGGGAGACCGGATATAGTGAATGCAGGGTCTGGGGAGACCGGATAAAGTAAATGCGGGGTCTGGGGAGACCGGATATAGTGAATGCAGGGTCCGGGGAGACCGGATATAGTGAATGCAGGGTCCGGGGAGAACCAGGGTCCGGGGAGACCGGATATAGTGAATGCAGGGTCCGGGGAGACCGGATATAGTGAATGCAGGGTCCGGGGGGGATATAGTGAATGGAGACTGGATATAGTGAATGCAGGGTCCGGGGAGACGGATATAGTGAATGCAGGGTCCGGGGGGGAGTGAATGACTGGATATAGTGAATGCAGGGTCCGGGGAGACTGGATATAGTGAATGCAGGGTCCGGGGAGACTGGATATAGTGAATGCAGGGTCCGGGGAGACTGGATATAGTGAATGCAGGGTCCGGGGAGACTGGATATAGTGAATGCAGGGTCCGGGGAGACTGGATATAGTGAATGCAGGGTCCGG